AGAGAGAGAGAGAGAGAGAGAGAGAGAGAGAGAGAGAGAGAGAGAGAGAGAGAGAGAGACAGGGTATCAGCGATTGTTGCTGTGCGCCACGGCGTTGCCGTGGCCGGTTCCACTTGATTTTTTAAATCCCCTTTCCAAAGCAAGGGATGCGAGAGACACTAAGACACATTTTCACATTTGTCATGCATTCTTTCTTTCTACCTTTTTTTTTTTTTAAATTCCTCTTTCGAAAGTAAGGGATGCGAAAGAGACTAATCCGGTTATAGACACACAAGTGGCATTCAGGTCTTGGGTTCAATCCCCATGGCCGCCTGCAGTATGCTTGGTGCCAGCCAACTGAGATAGACAGCCTCCCCATCGGTATTAGTAGAGTCTTCAGCCGACAGTGGTATGAGTGCGAGTGTGAGTGGGTTGTGTTTGGTCTGTGAGAGAGTGTTCGCCTTGTACACTGCGATTACTTCATGGGGCTGGGGGAAGGTGAAAAGGGAGGTGCAGCTACTGGCAAATCCTCGGTCCTTGTGTTAGCCGGGCCCCCACCGGTGGGCCCAACCCTGCACAGTGCACCCTGAACCACTACGACAAGGGGGGCAAACATGCAATTACCTCCCTCCACAGAGAAAGGTGACCTCCCTTCACCAAGAGAGAGGAGATCGCTATGCTTGCAGGGGTTCCCTGTATAGAGCCTTAGAAGTAGGGGTGGGTACATCGTGAAAAATGAAAGAATTTGAGTGAAGAATATAGTGAAGTTAAAAAGAAAAAAGAAAAAAAAAAAGAGGACAAAGAGGAGATGATATATTCGAGACTAAAGGGCATACTCACACTATGACTTTTTACTAATTTCTGCTGGGCTTTTTACTTGTTTGAAGAAATTAAAGTTATTTCTGGACGTGATTGCAGTCAGGAACATCCACGTTGGGCTCCAAATGCGATCAGATACATGCAAGATAGTGTTAGCATGAGTATACCCTAATGCAGGGGGGGGGGAAAAGTGCATGGAAAAGAAACAGCAACAACAAATAAACACGATGTGATTTTGACAATTAGCTCGTCAGATGGTCTTTTCACAATTAGCTCGTCAAACAGGACACAATCCGTGAAACACAACCAGACCCAGAATGCCATGATAAGTAGAGCTAAACCCAGCAGAACACAGTCACAAAAGAGTCAAAAAAGACTACAACTTTTTTTTCTTTATTTTATTATTTTAATCTCTTAAAGAAAAAAGTGGATCTGTCCTTCAGGACATAAGTTAAAATTGGAATGATACAGAGAAGATTAGCATGGCCCCTGCGCAAGGATGAAACGCATATATCGACGAATGGTCCAAAAAAAAAAAAGAAAAAAAAAAGAGCAGATCTTCCACGACGGTCCCAATTGAGGCCCCGCTCCCAGTGATGGAAAAATTGTCGAGGTGGAGCGCCAGGGCCTCGGCTCAGGGAAAGCACGAGAGAGCATTTGAGGTATACGTCGGGGCAGGCCCGGAACCGCGCAGAGGTACATTTAAGGCAGTGGGAGCATGCCCTTAGTTGCCGGTCACATTCTTCTTTGTCATTTTCTGTCACGAGTTGGTTTCTTTTTTTCTGTCGTATCTGTTGTGGGCAGTTTTGTCTTTTTTCCCTTTCTTTTCGCTAACTGGGCCCAGGTCATCCAGAATTATTTGGATAAAGGTCCCAGCAAAAAAAAAAAAAAAAAAAAAAAAAACCCGAAAAAAAACTATGTTATGCAGAAAAATAAATCGAACAACTTTTGCCTCAGGGTCACAACGATATTCTTTACAGAATTAAAAATAAAATAAAAAATATTTTATTTTTATATATATTTTTGGGCCGGCCGGGCACCCCGGGCCACTCTGGTAGCCTTGATTCTGTTCATCTGATTGCATCTGGAGTCGGAAGTCGAGTCTGTATTTCAACAGTTTATTGGGTGTACCCACCGAGCAGGCCCATCAGTGTTTTTTTTTTTTTTTTGGTCGTTTATGTTGTGGATTGGAACTGCTTTTTCAGATTTGGACCATTTTTCGATCTACGCGTGTCATTCTTGTCCAGGGGCGATGCTAATCTTGTCTGTATCGTTCACATTTAACTGGATCCAAATCCCCGACGTTTTGGTTGTGGTTTTCGAAAGGGCTCCTGCCGTTTCGCGCACTGAAGCGGAGATGCTGTGTTTGCCGCTTTATGCAGAACGTTCAAAGACAAGTACATACTCAGGGCACATACTCACACTAAGACTTTTTCTTCTAAGCTCCGCACGTGATTGCAGTCACATCCATCCAGGTATGGCCGCAATTGCGACCAGATGCATTTCGGAAAGTACCAGTGTGAGTATGCCCTTGAGAGCATTCCCACGGAAGAACTGGAGGTCTTGTCGACCTATCAAGAGTTGATGGCCGTACCATGTGGTCAAACGGGCTTTGTCGTTTTGTTTTTGTTTTGTTTTGTTTTTGTGGTGGTGAGGCTCACTACCACCTTTTCTTCTGAGCTCTGGACACTATTGCAGTGAGATTCATCCACGTCTCACAACTGTGGCCAGACTGCAATTTCAGAAAGTGCTAGTGCGAGTATGCCCTTAGTCGCTTCTCCCGTCGTACAATTCGTACCATGCGGCCACACGTGCCCCACCCGCCACTCGCAGGATCGCCGACCTGCCCCACACTGTACCCTCCAGCCCACATAAACCGTCCAGTCCACATACTCGAAACACCCCGCGTAGGGCCACATAACACCACCCAGCTCACATAGTATGACCTGCAGAACATATCCAGACCGCAACCCTCCACGTCGTATAACCTGGCCCCACATAGTACTGAAAGGATTCACGCTGCCGACACCCAGTCCTGGTCCCAGGGTCCCGACGAGTCCCAGGTCTCAGGGCCATCCTGTAGGGTAGGCCGTAGGGTCTAGAGACCGAAGCGCCGTAGGTCGGTAGGTGTCAGTACCGAAGCGTCGTACGTCGGTAGGAGTCCGTCCGGTACCCGACAAGAAAAGTCCAGAAGCGTCCAGTCCAGTCCGACACTCCCAAGTCGAATTTTGCAGCATGTCCCAGGAAAGTCCGGAAGCTACCGGACCGACAAAATGTTTGCAGCAGACAGGCCGCAGCCGACCGGCACCGGTCTGAAGCAGGCCAAGCCAAGCCAACCGAATCCAAGCCAGGTCCTATATTTAGCTGGCTACAGTGCAGCGGTTCATCACTTGTTCAGCTGTGAGCTGCGGAAGCGCTGCTGCTGCTTGTGCGTTAAGGCAACTTGGGCACTGTGGCCCTGAGGAAGGAGAGGGCGCCTGTTAAATACTTCATAGCTAGGCTAGACGTAGAGTAGGAGAACGTCGGCCATAGCTGCCAAGGTGTAAGCTGCCTGAATGGGTGTATCCAGGCTAACGATCCAGGGAAGAGAGAGAGAGAGAGAGAGAGAGAGAGAGAGAGAGAGAGAGAGAGAGAGAGAGAGAGAGAGAGAGAGAGAGAGAGAGAGAGAGAGAGAGANGAGAGAGAGAGAGAGAGAGAGAGAGAGAGAGAGAGAGAGAGAGAGAGAGAGAGAGAGAGAGAGTGAGGCAGAGCGAGAGAGAGAGGGAAGAGGGGAGAAGCCATAGCTGCTAGCTGGTGGAGATCCGTTGCGTGCGGCAGAGTCGCTGGAGACAAACATTCTTGTATATTGATAATTATACTGGAGACGACATTTTCAAGTGTTGATTGCATCTCGATTTGGCTTCTCACGTGTGAACTCTCATGTGAATAATTCATTGATGTATGCCAGGTTGAACCAACCCATGTTTAAATGATCCACATGGTAAGACGCCCCCCCATCGTGCAACCAGAGCCACACATTATCACCTGGGCCACAGAATACCGCTCAGCCTTCATAGCACATCGCCTGATCAGTGGCAAGCAGCAAATTGTGCCTGATGTTGGCCATGTGTTTTTTGTTTTTTCCGCCCTTTCGTGGCCATGTCTGCCTTCGTTTTCGTGTGTGCGTGTGGGAGTGTGTTACTCCCATCCACTCCACACAGTATGCCCTGCCCCACATGGAGCCACCGGGTCCAATGGAACCATCCATCCAACCCACGTGGCATAACGCAAACCATATGATAATACCACGGTAGCCCACAGCGTGCCATAGCTGTGTCAAGGGCAGGGTTGCCACTGGGGCGCAGCATTGCTGCAACAGGTCCACTTGTTCTCTTCAGAAGGAGAAGAAAGAAAGAATTAAAGACGTCATGACAATGGGGAAAGCCGCAGAACCGTACACAGAACCATACACAGAACCGTGCACATCACATCCAGTAGCCATATTGTGAAAGAAGATTGGTCGAATGTGAACGTAAACCAAAGAACAAACATTTTTTTTCCCCTACAAACTCTCAAACTGACAACATTTTCCACAATCCTGAGTAAAAGCGCCCAATTCCGCTCGTGAACACGACATGCTGGAGTAAAAGCGCTCGATTCCGCTCACGAACAAAACATAATGGCCTTCCCTTGCGTGGATGAGAAAAGGCAAAGGATTTTGCTGACAGACACAGTCGCCTACTACAATCCCTTACTCAGAAAGCGCGCACGTACGGTGGAATCGGCACCAACCTAGCATTAGCCAGAGGGTAGAGGGGAAGGGCGAAGAAGGGTTATTGAGCGAACCGATCACCTACTACAATCGGTATTATGAACACTGTCGAACCCACCATAGGATTACTCGATCGTCCATCCATCAGTTGTAGACCATGTATTTTGGTGTTGCGCTGAACTTCTGATACCCCTTAATGACCTTGCTTACAGCCTCTAGGAAGTCCTTCTCATTCACCGTCTTCCTCCGCGCGCGGATGGCGTACATCCCAGCCTCTGTGCATACGCTCCGAATGTCGGCTCCTGCAGTCGAAGAGAGTGGAACAGGCAAACAATCAATCCACAGCAACAGTGCATGACAATGTCAGCAGCTGCTCTCACTCGAAGGCCATCTTCTGCTTATTCTGTGAATTCGACGCACACTGTGACTGATTAAGCTGTGCCATATCAGAAAGCGCAAACTGGGGTAGAACGGTCGTGACAAATTTCAAAAACCTAAAACCGGTCGGACCAGGGCACCCAGCAACAAAAATGGGCCCCAATAAACTTGAATGCAACCACAACTCACCAACCCACAGAAAATTCCCCTTGGAATCACACTGACCAAACTGTAGAAGATTGGGAAAAATCAGTGAGCGGAAAAGGCACTCCCAGGCAACCGTCAGGTTCCAATTCTTTTTTTTTTTTGTTTCAAAAAAAGAAAAAAAGAAAAAAAAAAGGTTGCAAATTGCAATTCTATATAGTAACCCCAAAGACGAAGCACGTACTTGAGGAATTGATCAGGGTCATGAAAAAGTGCTACCAGTCAAACTTGCTAGAGTAGAGGCTCCCATGTCGCTGTCGGTAGTACACTACTTGTTTGTCCCCTGACTAATTGTTTTTTTTTTTTCTTTCAATGGGACAATGCTCCAATCATTCGTGGGGAGCAACACATGCTGGGGGCCATCCCAAGCATCCCTCATGAAAACACAGAAAAACTATTGAAGTGCCCGGGCCCTTACCTGGCTTCGGCTAAAAAAAATGATCAGGAGAAATTTCCGAGAAAACGATTTCATAACATCATTTCAGGCTCCCATGTCCTTGCCACTACACAACTTATTTGTTCATCGAATAAGTTGGGAACGAATTCAAAAATCAGGTCAACAAAAGAATGCCAAGCATTTGTGTGTACTAAATGACCTGAGAACACAAACTCGGAAAGAGTGGAGAAAGTCGTGTCCCTTGCATCTACTGCATCCCGCCAAGATGCGAAGTCTGAAGCTATTGAACTTTTGACTCAGCAAGATGAGGGCAAGCAGGATGCACCATGTGTTGTAGCTGCCCCACCGATGGCATGCACCATCCGTCGCCCTTGAAGCAAAAGTTTTCCACCACAAGAGACAAAGGCGAAATGGCAAGCCGTTCCCGCCCCCCCAACACCCGCACCCCCTCCCCAAAACTAAAAAAATAAAAACGGCAAGCCATGAGGAGTTATAGCAGCTCACCTTCCACTTCCAAGTTACACAGAGTCTCACTCTACCAGCCAGCAAATGTGCAAAATGAGAATGAATCATACTTGCGGCGCATAGGTGAAGTACGCTGCACAGTACGCTGTGCGCAGTGCGCGAATCTCAGGTGCACGCGCTCAAACGAAAACAAAAAAAAAACAAAAAAAAAAACGTGATGTGTGTATACACGCTRAAGAGAGAGAGAGAGAGAGAGAGAGAGAGAGAGAGAGAGAGAGAGAGAGAGAGAGAGAGAGAGAGAGAGAGAGCACAGAGCCCTTTCACATTATTCAGACAACCCCTGCCGGTACTTCAAAAGGTCCCTGCCAAAGGGTCACTTGGGCAGGAACGGGGTGGTCATTGGAAGGGTCGTCACTGGACTCGTAGCAAGGAGGGAGTAGGCCAGCTACATATGGTGTAGCTTCCATTTCAGGTCCGTGTTTCAGCAATTATGGGTTACTGACTTGCAAACTCGGCATGTGATTTTGAGGGATTCACTCCACTACTCACCAAATGTGCAAAACTAGAATGAATCTTCTCCTCGAAACTGAAACCATACACGCCATCCGTTTTTCTTTCCTTCAAGTGCTGATGAGTGGAGCGAGGCCCTTAGGACCACTGCACGTAAGAAAAGGGGCGGAGGGGGGGAAACGAGACAACTACTGAAGTGTTTGTGGCAAGTTTGTAACCCATAACTCTTGGAACACAGACCTGAATCCGAATCCGGGATATATTGCTGGCCTACTCGTGGTCTTCCAGCAGTCCAACGCACATCCTTCCAAAGGTTATGGAAACCCTGCTAATTGCTTGCAGGGTACTTTTTGGAAAGGAGAATCAAACCAATGACCAGTACGACGAGGCCCCAAAATATTCTCTTTCTGTGTACTTACCCTTTTTAAAAGGGAGGGACACTTGTGGGTACGACGACCTACCGTTTCTGATTTTTTTATTTTTCTTTCTGAATGCGCCACATCACGGGTGCGCGCACGTGCGCGCATGTGCGCTGCGGCGCACGTGCGCAACTTGCACGCACGTGATGCGCCGCAACTATGGAATGAATCTTCCGCTAGAACACAGAAAAACACACTGCCAAAGCTTTTGTCTTTTGTGACTGTTATGAATGGTGGAGGGAGGCGCACTGGCATAAAACGATCGCCAGGTTCCTCCCTGCGAAAACTTTCCAAAAATTGAATCGTGCAACAGGTGACCACGATGATCGGCCCAAGCGGATCATTGATACAGCATATATCAGCATATGCCATGCACGATGAACTTGAAAGAGAGTAGAAATTGTCATTTCCAGTCCATGATATCTCTGCATCAGTGGACCCTCAGTTCATTTCTGAGGGAGGGCCATTCTGTAGGATGGCTTAGCCATTTCCAGGCCAGGACCTTTCTGGGCCTTTCTGGACAATTGCTGGAGCCGAGATCATTTCTAAGGCCCTGGCTTGCCTGCAGTGATCCCAGATCATTTCCAGGCCAGGACCTCGTGTCACACCAAGTGGCCGACTTCGACACAAGAGTCGGAAGACAAAGCACGAGATACGAGAACTCGAAATTCCATCGTCCTACATAGATGTCTTATACAACGAGTTTATATTCCGAGGATGAGCTCTCACTCCTGGCTGTCATGGCCAGCAGCAAATGTCAACGAAGGATGAGCTGTCACACTCCTGGCCTCAGGTGCTCACTCTCTCTCCCTGTGAATGTCTTCTCTCGGAAAACGGCGTAGCTACTTTTCTCTTTTTTTGTTTTTCGGCACAGTCCACTGTACCACGGATCAGCTATTAAACTGATCAGAACAGATACTAAACCCGATCTATTTTTTGCCACATTTGGCCTATTTTACTTTTCCTGTTGGACCCTAGACTTCCGGAGCTTTCTTCAGCCTATTTTTCTTTTCCTATTGGACCCTGAGCTTCCGGGACTCGCTTTCGGACCCCTTGCTAGACTGCCCTCACTACCTTTACTGCTACTTTTCTTTTTTTTTTTTTTTTGAAAAAGGGCGACCGCCTTGAGATATTATCATTGAGTTGACCGGCCCCAAGCAATTCATTAGTAGAGTTGGTTTTACTCGTCACGTTCCATCATCTGGGTTCGAACACAGGTCTGTATTTCAACAGTTCATGGGTATACTTTTCTTTTCCTTCCAGAACTCTCTTTTGAACCCCTTGCTAGACCTTTTGGCACTACAGTACCGACCTGCAGGCTGCTTGCATGGCCACATTTCAGACGCAATCTTCGCACGACGAGTAGGCCGGCCGGCCGGTCAGCCAGCCAGCCAGCCATTTGCAGGCCATTTGTGAGTGTAACCGACAACCAAAGCTTCACACAGGAGAAACCTCTGACATAAAAACTCGGGCGGCGAAAAAAAGTGTGCACACGCCAAGATGCAAAGCAACCAAGTAAAGGACGAGTTAAGAGATCAGCTTACCTGTGCTGTTCGGACAAAGCCGGGCCAAGAGCTCAAAACGGATGTCGCGTTCACAGTTCATTGTTCTTGAATGGATCTGGAAGATTTGAGTTCTGCTTTCCAGATCTGGCAGTCCAAATTCCACCTTCCGGTCCAATCGTCCAGGTCGTAACAGGGCAGGATCAAGTGTGTCTGGCCTGCAAACATTCACAGAAAGAAACCGACAGCAAAAATGAGAAATCCAAAATCGACTCCCGGGCTCCTGTCCCCCCCATTCCCCTCCTCCCTCCCTCCTTTGCTATCCAAACATTTTCGGCCTTCGTCCTTCTTAAAATTGGCCTTCCACACCAGACGAAACTAGGCCGTGAAAAAACTGTCAGAGTCTACTAGGCCGTTCGCGGAGGTGGCGGAGCACACGTAGCGCTGCATCAAAAGGGCATTCCTTCTACTTCGGCTGGCCGTCCATTGCACCGACATAAACAGATGAAACGGTAGATGGCTGACCAGATGCAAAGTTTTTCGCCTTTTCTCCAGCAGCGGGTAAGGATTGAACTCTTGATCTAGTGATCCGTTGTAACATGTGTGTGATTTCACCGCATAGCAGATACCATCTAGAAAACCATTCATTATCGTCTAAACGGTCTGATACAATTTTTTCTTTAAAATTATCCTCCGGTACGGCGCTCAGTGTGGTGAGTTTGTCGTGTGTGTGGAAAGCAGAAAACGACAGCGCTACGGCGCCGAGTGTGTCAAGCGGCCTGGCCTACATGTGGAAAGCAGAGGACGACACGAGTACGGTGCCAACTATGGCTAGCAGCCTGTCCTGTGTGTGGAAAGCAGAGGACCACAGCTGAAAAAATTGCAAGGGTCAGAGGGATCCAAGGATGCTAACTTGAACAGGGTTGGGCATCAGATAAACGCCACCCTCTCTCTTCCATTCTCTAGTTACAGCAACCAGCACCAGTCCACACAAAGCTCAGCTTGACCCACAGGTGTAATCTTAGCAACTCGGCAAGAACAAAATGGCGAACATTTTTTTAAGCCCTGAGCTGGAAACAGCAAACCTCTGAACAGACTGAACCTGCTGAGTGTCAAGCATCAGAAAAACGCCACCCTCTCTCTTCCATTCTCTAGTTACAGCAACCAGCACCAGTCCACACAAATCTCAGCTTGACCCACAGGTGTAATCTTAGCAACTCGGCAAGAACAAAATGGCGAACATTTTTTTAAGCCCTGAGCTGGAAACAGCAAACCTCTGACCAGACTGAACCTGCTGAGTGATACTTGACATACTTCCATGTGCACAGCGGCCCAGTATGACCAACCGTTGGAAGTCGATAACTTAAAAAGTGTTTCAACAAACATTTTGTCCCATATCTGACTGTGTTCTGTACGCCATTTTAAGTGAGTTCCGATGCTGATACGTGACCCGTGTTAAGTCCCACCAGGCTTGGTTGGAGCGCATGAGACAACACGATGCTGCTTGACTGTCATCTCCCTCCTCCTCCTCTTCCTCCGCTGCCGCCACTGCTGATTCCTATTCCAGTTCCAACTTCTTCCCACAACTTGTGGTTGCCTGTCAAATACGAAGGCCGTTTATGGCCCAATTCATTCTGACCTCATTTCTTTCTATTCCTCTATCTCCTTCCGCACAATCTTTTCAGTGTGAAACAAACCCGACCCGCATAGTATCATCCAAGCCTGTGATTGTGCCTGAGATTGCCTGTGCAGCACTGGTAGTTTCAATGCCTTCCCTTCTGTCTTTTCTTTTTCTGAATTGATTACGAGTAATTAGGCTCGCTGCAGCCAATGACCACGGCTTTCAGTGGTCACATTTGGCCGCCGGAATCACTACCCTACTATTTCAACTGGATGATACTAAGTTACTAAAACACACATTCCCCCTGAACAAAGAAAAAGAGAACACGAACACGGCACACCCCCCCCCCCCCCCCCCCCCCAACAAAAAAAACAAAAAAAATCAGGGCACTATTCGGCCCTTTCCCCTGCAAGTCAGTACTATGTGGGCTGAGTGGTATGATGTGGCCTGCCTACCTACCTTCAAGGACAGG